AGAGAGAGAGACAGAGAGAGAGAGAGAGACAGAGAGAGCATCACGAACCCCCGCCGCCCTGTCTGTCAACCACCGGATTGATGTGTAATGCCAAAAATGACCAGTCTGACATAGAAAAGCAATATCCGATTGTCAATAACAACGAGAGCCCGCAGGCATATTGCACGGTAGCTATTTATTCCCTTATTTATTTCTATTCGTTTTTATCTCCCTCCATTGATTTTTCAGTAACGGCTGGGCTCGCGGGCTGCGGCTGCTGAGAGGCAGGTGCATCGTCAGACAGACGCTCGTTGGGCGTGATGTGATGAGATGGATTCCGCTCCAGTGCAGCGACGAGACGGACGCAACCGGAGAATCACCGAGTAGCAGCGAGGCGCGTGTGATCGAGCTGCCGACACCGTGGCGCAGGAGCACGGGCGGGGAAGAGGGCTCGGCCCCTCGCGAGCGCTCCGTCTGATCAACAGATATTGAATATTAAACGGCCGTACGTCCCGAAACACGGCTGTTGCTGGTGGAATCGGGCCGTGGAGCGAAGTGGCATCATGTGCACCTGATGACATTGTCATGAATTCATAGAAGCCATTTCGCCATTTCGATTCGTGTCGCCGGTTTACTGTTTATTCTTTCTCTAATAACGAGTTTCGATCAGACGCCGCCAGGATGATGGAGCTGGACGAGGTGGTGTACCAGGACGATTATGGGACAGTGTCTGTCATGTCAGAGCGGGTGTCGGGCCTGGCCAGCAGCATTTACCGGGAGTTCGAGCGCCTCATCAAGAGCTACGATGAGGAGGTGGTGAAGGAGCTGATGCCGCTGGTGGTGAACGTCCTGGAGAACCTCGACTCGGTGTTAACGGAGAACCAGGAGCACGAGGTGGAGCTGGAACTTCTCAAGGAGGACAACGAGCAACTCATCACGCAGTATGAGCGGGAGAAAGCGCTGCGCAAACAGGCGGAGGAGGTAAATTATAATAATATTTTCATCTCATCACACATCCCATCATTCTCTTCATACAATGTCCTATTCAAACAAGAGCGTTTGTATTATTTGATCATAATGTGTCTGTGTAAACATTTACAAGAGCCCTGCGAACACTGACACTGGCTCTTTAACCCCGTAAAGCCTGGCATATGAAATAATAGTCAGAAAAATCCATTTTGTTGAGTTTATAAAACCCAAAAAATCTAAAACCCCAAAACAAAGAGGCTTGCATATGTGTTTTATGTTCTGTATTTTTGTGTTTTATGTAGACTTTTATAGTGAGGATATGGAGCTCACTCTTAAAGGGGGTCATATGATGTGATTTCTATTTTTTCTTTCTCTTTGGAGTGTTACAAGCTCTTGGTGCATAAAGAAGATCTGTAAAGTTGCAAAGATTAAAGTCTCAAATCCAAATTTTGAGATATATATAGATATTCTTTATAAAAGTTAAGAGTCAGTCACACCTACATAAAACGGCTCGTTCTAACACGCCCCCACATATCTACCTCACGATGTGGGAAGATTTGCATAACACCTCCCAAATGTTCATGCAAAGAAAGAAGGCGTAACTTTTATTCTCGCTGTAGTATTGTTGTTGCTGCCGCCATGTCGTGAAGGCGCTGTGTGTTTCGTTGTGAAAGTGAAACTACTTTGTTTGGCCTTCCAAAAGAGGACACGACTAGAAATCAGTGGTTAAGTTGTATTTACAACACAGTTCCAGAACAGTTCAACCCAAATATTCAGATGTGTGCAGCACATTTTATAGAGGACTGTAGACAGTAGGCTATAAGTCATTATAATCAGTAATTATGTCCCCACTGGATGCAACAAATGCCTCGTTTATAATGGGTTTTAATGTTTTTGTCTCGTCGCTCCGGCCAGGACAAGGCATCACAATATGCTAAGGGGCGTAACATTTCCGTCTCATGCTTGAGGTATTCGGCCAATCACAACACACTGGATAGCTGGCCAATCAGTGCACACATCGCTTTTCAGAACGATGAGCTTTGTAAAAATCGAGGCGTTACAGAAAGGCGGGGCATAGAGGAGAAACAATAATGTACAGTATGTGGAAAATAATGTGTTTTTTAAACCTTAAACCGCATAAACACATTTCATTACACCAAATACACAAAATAATGTTATTTTTAGCAACGTCATATGACCCCTTTAAGTAAACACCTCAATTTTATTCAAAGGCCCAGCTTAGAAACAAAACAAAAAAAACAAATGCAATTTGGTGCTGTTGTTATTTATATGAATAAAAAGTAAGATGAAATTCTGATAGCCTGTAATGTAAATCAGTGAAGGTCTTTTTATGACAGTATAACTGTTTACATATAAATTGTAACTCTATATCTTCACTCATTAGAATGACATGATCAGCCGAGTGTGATTTGTTCACTGAAGACGGATTTAAAATGTATAGTGTTAGAGTGTGTTTGTTTTTTCCCTCTGTTTGCAATAATATGACTTTGTAAGATGATATTTAAATGCTTAGTTTTATGGTCAAAGCTCTGTAGTTTTTATAGTGGAGGTATAACCTAATGCAATGCAACACAATGATGATCGAGAGATGTACAAATAAATGTTCCTCAAAAGCCTGTTTTATCATATTTGATACTTACATTTTAATATGATTCCAGTTAGCGTCCATCTTGAAATATTACTAAGAATATTAAAGTTATTCTCACGTTTACTTTTTTATTAATTATTATCATTAAATGTTTTGCAGCAAAAACACTTGTACCACAACCCGAAGGGGGATGATTTTAGAATCATACAAAAAGGCCTTTTACAGGTGCATCTCAATAAATTAGAATGTCGTGGAAAAGTTAATTTATTTCAGTAATTGTACACATTAGTATGAAGTATAGTCCTGTAATATGCACTGTAGTTCTTCCAGTAACCCATCTGCTTTGTCCCGTAATGAAAATTGTATGTGTTGCTCTGACTATACTTGCAGGAAATAAATCTCTAAATCTTCTACAAAAGATGATCTCATACATGTTTGTACATAAATAATATGCAGACAAACACTCTCATCATTTTTGGGCATCAGCACAGGCACTGCTACTATGACTAGACAGCTGCAGGAAACAGATGCCCTTTATGACTCTTCACGTGCATCATCACTACATGCTAACATTGCCAAAACATTTTCCAAAAGTAACTATCTTATCGACTGCACAGCCGGAACATTATAGGGATTCTTGTTGTGTTAATCTTTATAGCAGAGTTTAGACGGTGTAAGTGCCATGCAATCAAAACGTGAGTGTGTTTCCTCTTTAAGCGCAAGTCATTGCTGCAATTGTAAAGATTTAGTGTGTGAATATATGATGGCGAGTGAGTGATGATAGATCTGTCATAACTGAGCAGTGTATTTTAAGAGCAGAGATTATTGTATCAGAAGACAGAAAGAAAGGACAAAAAAGAGAATATACAGGCTGTTTTTCAGTATCACAGATACTACAGAGAAGGAACATGCTTATGAAATATAGTAATTGCAGGGATGCTTCTCACCCATTACTTGATTACTTCTGTTTTGTCTTGGAATTTCAACATGAAAGCCGGCCACATTTATTTATTTATTCTTCTATATCTATTTCTTTATTTTAAAGATATTTTCTTTATTATAATTTTTTTCTAAAAAATGTCTTTATTTTATTTTACGATTTTTATTCCAAAGAAGCTGCATTTTTAAATAATGCATGTTTTTTCCTCTTTTTTTATTTTTAGACAGTATTTATCATGCTCTCATAAAATATGTTGATGCTATAAACTATATAATAAACATTTCACTTAAATCTATTGTGCATTTTCCCAGTTGCAACCACCTCTCCAAAAATAATAGACGCTAGTAGGGAATTTTGTGTGTAGCAGGCTTGTGTCTACTGTGCAGAAAGAAATCGGCTATGGCTTAAAACAATATAATTAATAAAATAAAATGGTTGTGTTAAGGATAGGTCTTTTATTGTTTTATTGCAGCAATGCAAAGACATATGTGCTTGGGGTGCAGAGGACAAAAGTGGGAGGATGATGAGCAGGGAGGATGATTATGGGTAATCAATTTTCTCATAGAAGGAGGCTGGCTGGCGCTGTAACCCGATTCTCATGTTATGAGACAGACAGAGAGCACAGAGTGAGTGAGATAGTGAGGGATGGAGGGAGAGAGAGGGGAAGTAAATAGCATTCTCTAGTTTCGCATCCTGTGGGATTATGGCAGTAGAGTATAATGGCCACAGTAAGAACATCCACCTCTCTTTTTCTCGCTGTCTTCCTCTCATATAGACTCATCCATATATGAACACATATTCTGAATGTCAAACAGCTTGATCCTCAAGGGAGAAATCAGTGATTAATTTAACATCATTACAATAAACTTGCATTTTAGAATTTTATCTGTAACTTAACTTTAGAAAAATTACATCTAACAGTATAAAATCTTAATTGATAGAGATTATTTATGACATGCATGAGGCATTCACATCTTTCTGATGTATGGTGGCATAACAGGTGCACTTGGCTCAACTCCAACTTGTCACATGTAATTTTATTCAATATTAAAATCTTATATCCCTGCTTAATATGCAAGACAAGTGCAAACAGATTTTAAGTTGCTTCCTCCAAAAAGTGTAAACTGTGACTCTGCACGTTGTTTATTATTTTGGGGGGATCCCAACCAGCCTGACACTGCAATATAATCTTATTCAATGTCGCGAGGTTTGGGTGACTATTGGCCAACCATTTGCAGACAGACAGATCTATTTTGAAACACTCATTCTTTTTATGTATTTCATTCAGTGTAGCTAGTGATGTAGAAAATACACACTTCACCTTTACTGGCTGTTCATGATTAAACTGCAGAATGAGAAATATTGTTATGTCAAGGTATAGCAAGAAAGAACTCAAATTATCAGTCTGGAATTACATTATGAAAAGCATTACGTAATATTTAATGCCTCTATAATCCCATATGTAGACATGCTTCTGAAATGGGGTGTATATAGTACTCTAGAAATGACTTTATTTAAGTCAAAACAATCATTAGAATGACACGATTGGCCTAGTATGATTAGTTCAATAGTGTTAGAGTGTGTTTGTTTTTTCCCTTTCTTTGCAGTGCTGGGATTACTGAATTCCAGGAGGCTGGTTGTGGCTGGGCTGCACTGCAGAAAGAGCCTATTGTGTTCCACTTAAAATCCTTGCAGCTCAAAGTCACCACACACAGCACTTGGAGTGTGTGTGTGTGTAATGTACCCGGGTAACTGTGTATAAATGTGACTGTATTGTATCTGAAGAACAATTCCTTCTCAAAAATGCTTTTTGACCTTGTGCTGTTGTGCTTCACACTGTGGTTATGGATAATTTTGCATTGAAAGTCAGTTCAGTTATACATACACACACTCTGTAGCAGGGGGGTACTCAGGTTCAGTGGCCAAGGGGGCCACATTTAAACCACATAAAATGCGAAGGGCCACAAATTACTGTTTGCATCATTAGAATTTAAGACAATATTTGCAGTTTTACTGATTTAGAAATGCAGTTTATTACATATCTAACTCTTTCTTTTCCTTGTCCTATTTAAAATAATATTGAACATGAAAATAAAACATTAAAAAAATGTGGAACAAAAAGTGGATTAACAGTTTTGAGCATTCATGCTCAAACAGAGTATTAAACAAACCCAGAATGTTGAATGATCTCAAAACATTCTTGAGCAAATATAACTCACAAATTTCTTTAGAGAGAAGTATTATTTTTCCTATTCATGCCCAAAACATGACTGAGTGTGCATTATTGAGTGCTAAACATGTACGCATTCGTGCAGAAACCCCACATATGCATCACAGAAGTAATAGAACTCATGACATTTCAGGAAATAGCTAATATGGACAAAAACATCCAGCTATCGCTGTAACTGAATACAAAGAAGATAGAAATGTTTTGAAAGATGAAACATGAAGACAATAAACACACAATGTGACAATATATGATATCTATCTATCTATCTATCTATCTATATATCTGTCTATCTGTCTGTCTGTCTATCTGTCTGTCTGTCTTGTCTGTCTGTCTGTCTGTCTGCCTTATCTCCCTTGTCTATCTTGTCTGTCTGTCTGCCTTATCTCCCTTGTCTATCTTGTCTGTCTGTCTGTCTGTCTGTTCATTCATCCATCTATTCATCCATCCAATTCAGGTTATAAGATAAAGGATCTGATCTTGTGTGGATGTGTGTTTGCATGTTAACAGAAGTTCATTGAATATGAAGATGTCTCTGTCTGTTCATTCATCCATCTATTCATCCATCCAATTCAGGTTATAAGATAAAGGATCTGATCTTGTGTGGCTGTGTGTTTGCATGTTAACAGAAGTTCATTGAATATGAAGATGTCTTGGAGGCAGACAAGAAAGAGTTGCAGTCCATGTTGGAGACTTTGGAGCTGCAAACAAAACAACTCGAGCTGAAGGCCAAGAACTATGCTGACCAGAGTGAGTCTGTGCACTTAACTACATTTGTTCATACACACACATTGACACAGAGATTTGAGTTTCTTGCAATATGCATTTGTGATGTTCCTCTCTTGTAGTCTCTCGTCTGGAAGAACGAGAATCAGACATGAAGAAAGAGTATAACGCCCTTCACCAGCGGCATACAGAGGTCAGCACAGATTTATAACTAAGATTAACACAGGGTTCCCAAGACAATGGAAAACCAAGAGGAAAAGGATGGCAACGAATGTAGGAAAAGTTATGGAAATGTATGAAATAATATGAAAGTTCATGGAAATTTCCAAAGTGGATATAATTTTTTCTAGTTATTTAAAAAATTAGCTGCTAAAAATTGCTTTTTGTGATTGTGATCTTGATAAATTTCTTTTTGGCATGGAAAATGAATGGAAACATAATGGAAATTGTGGAGACACCATTAGCAATAACTCGAAAGTTACAAATACAAAGCTCCACTTCTCGAAAATTCAGCATATACACTGACTTTGATTTTTCTTTTTCTTCAGATGATACAAACATATGTGGAACACATTGAGCGTTCAAAGATGCAACAGACAGGCAGCAACCAGTCTGAATCTACAGGCTGCGGACGGGCGTGAGTAACTTATATAATTAGCATAATGTGGCCATTCCAAGCCTTCATTTACTTGAAGAGTTTGGAATGTGCATTTGGAATTAATTTGTGTTTTGCATGTTTGATTTGTGCTATTAAATAACACGTTTTGTTGGTAACCAGTTGGAAGAATTTCTCTGATTAGTTTTAAACAGAATTAAATACTTCGAATTTCAACCTGCAAACTCATATTCTCTCATTTTGGAACATCATGACTGTGTATTGCAGTTTGGACATATGTATTAGATGCTTTGGATTTTGATGGAACTGAATGGCCCATTATTGAAACAGTTGTCTTGGATACAGCGTTGCTAGGCGCTAGGTGATGATGCTCAGTGACAGTTTGTCATGTCTTGCTTAGTCAGAGCTAGAGTTGTGGCTAGCTTATAGTCATACTCGAGTATACACACATCTCCGCACATTTCACAAATTTCTTTTTTTCATTTAAACAGTCAGTTGATTTCAACTGATTAAGCGTTGCCATAGACATACTTGCAGGTTCGAATTTTGATACAGATTTGTGAGAGAGTGAGAAATTATGTCTTTTGCCTAAGAATAATCCCTTCAGTTATACATTATTTTTTTAATGTTATTAAATTATTCATCTGATACAGAGCTTTTAAATAGCTTTATGAGTTTAACCTTGACATGTCAGAGCTGAATGAGAGAACGCTGCACTCATTTACCCACAGAATGTAAGAAATATTTTTGTTTTTGTATATGTACATATGTATATATACATTATTATAATGAAATACAAAATAACATATTATGAAATAATAGGTTGTCCAGTTACACAGTCCCTAATTGCGACAATTAAGGTTTTGCTTGCAATTTCATCATGATTTCAATTTCGGCATAAATCAGCAGGTGTTCCTCGGGGCACTGAAAAGCATTAAACGTCATTAAATGGATTTTGCGAAAATTAAGGCCTTAAATAGCATTAAAAGTCATTACATTTTATTTGTACAGAAATACATTTTTTAAAGATGGTTCTGTAGAAAAATATTACCAGTTTATTTTGAATATAGTGCCTTCATAATTAATAACTTTTTGATTTGCTGTCGCAAAATTTGTACATTAGTGTGATATACACATGGAACCAGTTTTATAATTGCCTCCGGTCGGTGCGAAATTGCTGGGAATGTTTGGACAGCGGCGGGGACTATATGAAACAACTACCAGTTTGACGATAAATCATGATAAAAATGTATGTGTCAGTTTATGTGATTTATGTGTCAGTACATTTGGAAAATTTCCAGCACATTTTAACAATACCGTGATAATACTGATAATCGTGATAATTTTGGTCACTATAATCGTGAGGCTCACGCAGCCTGTCTGTGTGTGAGAGAATCTCGTGGAGAAATCAAAACACATGAGCACAACAACACACAAAGAAACTCATAGAACAAACATACTGTGGTAAAAATTTAGTTTTTATATATAACATATGATATAGCCAAGTTAAGCAACATGAGACGACCAAGAAAATGCTGTTTTCTGAATATCAGCACGACTGCAGATTTAACATTAATTTTAGTCATTCAATAAACGTGTAATAATCATTCAATAATCTCTGAGCAGCACACAGCAGTGTTTCGTTACTGAATGACTCAGCGTCTATTCATAAAGACAGACAGGCACTTGCTTCATTCTTGAATGAATCAGCCATCTGAATGAATCGCTTGAACTAATGACTCAAATGTTCACTCATTAACACTTGCCACCACCTACGGGTGGTTTACTCTCATATTTAAAAGTATTGCATTTTTTCAACTTCCACCTTAGCCATACCAGATAAACTTTACAACTTAATGGCATCTCAAAAGATTCTCCCTCTTACTTAATTCCCTCTGAAACAGACACATACTGCTTATAAAAAAGGCATAGACAAACCTTTCTTTGACCTTTCTGTCATCCATATCCCCAGGTCATTGTGTGTATTATTACTGTTCTTGTATATTGTCTTTTGTATTGTATATTGTTTTATGCATGATTATGATAGAACCACTATAGTTAATGTAACCTCACCTATACCATGTTTGGTATCTATAAATTCATATTTTGATGATCTGAAGGAGTGTATATTAAATGCTAATACCTATGCAACATATAAGTGTTCTAGGAATCTTTAATAGTTTTGCGTCAACACCCAATCCAGTTACATATGCAAAATAACATGTTCAAAGGCAAAGAGTCGTAAAACTTTCCATATCCTGATGACGGCATAAATGACTGGTTATATTCGAGCATATAACAGAGTTTACAAAGAGTGACTGGATTGTCCATGTGTTTTTTTCCCCATTGCTGTTGTTGTAATGTATTGGGAAGCCAGAATGCGTTTCCATCGACTGAAACATACATTAGCCAAACTCTGTCTGTTTTACATGTTATTTTTAACAAGCCATATTACAGATGCGATAGCCGGATTTAAGTTGAACTGCGGTGTGAGTGTGTGCCGAACCGTGGGTGGAGAACGGTACGGTTCGATTTTTTTCACAGAGAACCATTAACACCCCTAATCTGGACACACGCTTAATGGCCAAGGCTATGCAAGTATCGTACATACATTTAACTAAACGAAACAGAGGTTTAGTATAAGCTGTAGACAGACACCGTTGTAAAACGGCGCTGATGGTTTCACTCAGTGGTCAGTGGGACTAATTTTCCAGAGCGGCATTCTCTGGTTTCTCTAACAGTTTCATTAATCCACTTTAACTCCCCTTTGTATGTATGTGTGAGTGTGTGTGTATATGTTTGTTGGACTAGTTATGTGTTAGTGTTTAGTTAATAAAGCTTTTGTGCTCAAATTACGTGAGTTTTTGATTCTGTCACTGCTTGCAAATCAATGTCACTGAAATGATTCATGATCTTGTTACATGCTCTAATGCATTAGTACTATAAGAAAAATATTTTCTGTGGCCATGAAAATAACATTTCTTAGAGTTGATACGAATCTACACTGAATGTTCACTGAATGAACAGATTGGTTGATTGTAATGTTAATTTTGCTACAGATACTACTGGCAGCTGATATAAATAATTATAATTAAGTTTAATTAATTGAAATTATTTATATACATTTCCCTTTTAAGCTAATTTGCAACAGATATTAAAAATGATTTAAAACACTAAGCTCATAACATTATTAATGCAGTTGTAATTTTGCAATGTAATTGCATTCATGGTACATTTGAGCTTCATTAAACTGTCTGTGTAGATGCATCTAAATGCCAATCCAGCTGCTTCTGTTTCTTCTGCTGTGGAAAGATGAATTTTGTTGATACTGATTTTAATTGATTGGTAACAGCCTGATTGTGTCTTATTATAATAATTAAATTCATTAATGAAATTTAAGAATTTTATATGAAAGATAACACAAACATTTTATAAGATTAAGATTAAATTACCCTTTTTTAGGTAAAACAAAACCTTGGAAATCAATTTAAGTGGGCAAATAGCACAAATATGTTGATTTCAGTAAGTAAGAATGGATAAAGAGGACTGAAAATATTGCTTCAGAATAAATAACATTTACACTACCAATTACATTTATACAAATTCAGCTTTGAATATATATATATATATATATATACTGTATATATATATGGGTTGTGTATGTCATTAAAAAATGTAAAGGCATTAAATTACATTTGATGATACCTGCAGAAACAGTCAGTTCCATCTATTTATACATACTGTATACTGTATGTAATGTAACGTTATGTCCTGTGTCAGTATTGTGTAACTGTGTTTGTGAGTCTGCATGTGTTCACCTTCTTTCTCTTTCTTTCTTTCTGTGCTTGTGCTGCTGTGTGTCTCTGCAGTCCACGACACAACAGGAGGAAAAGGTAAAAATGCCCCACAATCTCTGACAGTTCCCTAAACCCTTGTGTCCCCCTGCCGTCCTTTTGTCTCCCATTTTACTCCTTTACAATAAAAAAATGAACCTGCCGTCCACTCAAATACTCAGTTTAGCAGTCTTGGAGTCAGAGACTGAGAAACCTGTTATATCAATATATGTTAACATATTGCCGTTGAAATGTTTGGGGTCAGCAAGATTTTTGTATGTTTTTAAAGGAAGTCTCTTATGGTCACCAAGGATGCATTTATTTGAACAAAAATACAATAAATACAGTATTTCCTATTATTTGAAATAGATTTTTTGTAACAATATAAAGTATTTACAGTCACTTTTACACAGTCAATTTAATGCATCCTTACTGAATAGAAGTGTTTTACGTCTTACTGACTCCAAACTTTTGAACAGTACTATATATATTTTTTAAAGAAAATGTAAAGATGGTAAATAGCACATTCACAGCATTCTTTCAGTAAAATTAATAATTTTAATATTTTTTTAGATAATATTTACTAAGTATTTAATTCATTTTAAATACTTATTTTTTGAAAATGAATCATATAATAATAATTTGATCATATAATAATAGCAATAATTTGAACTTGACAAGTAATAAATATTCTCCTTTTTTTTCTGTAATCCTAGTATATAGCTGATGCTAGTAATTAAAATTTGTCAGATATCAGCCGATTTATCAGCCTTGCTGATATATTAGTTGGCCAATACTGGAAACCGCCCCAGTCACTTGCGTTCTAAGTAAAGAAACACTTTGTTCTGACATTTCATGTGCATTGATTAAATCCATACTAACACGATTTCACAATGTCAAATTAAGGCATAAGGCATTTGTGTGCATTCTACAGACTGCAGAAGTCACATTTTTCATTACAGGAAAATGATTGTCTGTGGGTTTGTCTGTAGGTATGGGCAGTAGTGATGAATGGTCAGAGTTTCTGGAAATTATAGACTCAACACCAGAGCTAGAAATGTGCTTGGACCCTCGAATCTTCGGAGGAGGAAACAGGTAGACAGATACACATCATTCACAAATATTAAATACTGAATAAAAAGAACAAAATACCCGATCAATACAATACAAACGGACCATCGAAGTTAAAGTTATAAATCATTAAACCCGCTATTTAGAAAGTAGCTTTGTGTAATATAAAGGATTCAAAAACCACAGAAATAATGACGAAAGCTCTTGTTCCTTTGAAGTCCTTCTCAGGGCATAGTGAATGAGGCATTCGGCATCAACACAGACTCTCTGTACCATGAGATCAAAGACGCCAAGTCTGACATAATCGGTGATGTGGACGCAGGAGCCGAACTTCTCGGTAAGCTTTATAGTTCATTTACTGAACATTTTACCTCCGCAGTTGATTGACGGTTTCTCCAAGGTAACCTGCATTTAAGATCAATGATTTTTCATTTTCTGATTATATTTTAAGTACCATTGCTAAGCATATGGTGGCTAAGGGCCTTTCTTCCCTGCATTTTAAACTGCATGCCTTTTGTCAGAAAGCCACACTGCTGGATGTATCCCCAAAGCAAAGTCTCTTGGGATATCATGCTTGCTTCATGGCTGTATCTCCTGCCCATAAGCACATTTTGGCCTGCTGAAGTTATCCTGAATTGTTTCATTTGAGTAATTCCCGTTATTTATGTTGGCAGTTTTCTGATTTGTTTTGTTTCATTATCAAGGTAGAGCTGTTGATTTGTTTATCTCAGTGTGAAGGTGGATCTTTCTTTTGATTGGCCGTCTCACTCACTGACCCCTGACCCCTCTCTGTGCTTCCTTCCTGTGTGTGCTTCTCTCGGCCACGCCCCTAGGGGAATTCTCAGGTGTGTATCTGATCACTGATTGATTGGTATTTTTAGTTCTCATTCTTTTTTGCTGTTCATGACTTTTGCATGGATTTAACATCCACATAAAACACAATTAGTCGTATTACTTTAAAGACCACATTAAACTGTAACTCAGAATCACATGACATTAAAAAATTTACAAAAAACAAACATTAAAACACTTACAAATACACTTCTGTTCAAAAGTCTGGGGTCAGAAAGATTTGTATTTTTTCAAAGAAATGAGTACGTTTGTTCACCAAGGGTTTTTAATTGATCAACAGTTACAGTGAAGACATTTATACTGTTACAAAATGTATATTTTATGCATTAAATGTTGCTCTTTTGAACTTTCTATTCATCAAAGAATCCTGAAAAAAATTGTACCACAATTTCCACAAACATTATAAGCAGCAAAAACTCTTTTCAGCATTAATAATGACAAGAAATGTTTCCTGAGCAGCAAATCATATTAGAATGATTTCTGAAGGATCATGTGACGCTGAAGACTGGAGTAATGGTGATGAATATCCAGCGGTGTCATCACAGGAATAAATTACATTTAAAAATATATTAAAGTAGAAAACAGTACTTTTAAATATTAATATTGTGAAACATCATTGCTGTTTTACTGTATTTCTGATCAAATAAATGCAGCTTTGTTGAGTATTGTTGAGCATTAGCATTATTTTACTGACCCCTGACCTTTGAATGTATATGGGCATGTCTTTAATAAATAGCTATTTTGTAATTGTTAAAGGCAGTCCCTGAAAAGTGTAATATATTTAAAGGTCTTGATATATTAAAAAATACTTTTCTATGTAATAGTAACAGCTGATCATTTTGTTTTATTAATTTTGCTTTATAATGTAATTATCAGGTGTGTGCGTGTGTGTGTGTGTGTGTGTGTGTGTGTGTGTGTGTGTACGTGCACATTTGTATGTGTGTGATGATAAATATCTAACATGTACCTGTACATTTGTTTTTCTCTCTTCTCTTAATCTTTTTTTTTTTATTTAATCTTTTTTTTTTTACTTCCATCATTATCTTCCTCTTTTAATCTTCTCTTCTGTCTTCACACTCATATCTTTACTCCTCCTGTCATTTGGCTGCCTCCTCCTTCCTCACCACTTTCCTTCTGTCTCCTCCTTGGCTCTCTATTTCAGTCCGGGATGATTTCTTTGGTAAGGCTCATAGCCTCCTTTTCCCCCTCGTGTTATTTTCAGTAGGACATTGTGATACTTTTCTTATTTGTAGCTATGCTTTGGTGAGATGTTGTCCTGTGCTTCTGCTCTTCTAATCCTATTAACTTCAGCTGCTCAGTGCTGTGCTTTCGAATGCATGGCTTTGCGGCTCATATGAATCATATTATCAATTCAGATTGGATTATACCCCTTTAGATGTCTTGCAAATAAAACCCTTAAAGGTCATTGTTTACTGTCTCAATAAAGAGAAGATTTGACTGACTTATTTTTAAATAGCTACTACAGTAATAAATGTACTGCAATTGTGATTGTGATGTAATTTCAAACATTCGTGATGTAGTTTTGAATCAGCTGTCCCTTAGTCTGTTTATCTGAGATTATGGTGGTCTTTACACTTGCTAACACTGTATATCCCACAGGCATGGGGAAAGAGGTGGAAAATCTGCTAACAGAGAACAAAAAACTACTGGAGACCAAGTAAGCGGGAAAGAAAGACAGAATGTGTGTGTATTTGTCCATGTATGCGTCTACAGGTTATAATGGAATCCTTTGCTATCTGTAGGAATGCCCTGAATATTGTGAAGAATGACCTGATTGCTAAAGTAGATGAGCTGTCGAGTGAACAGGAAGTTCTCCGGGAAGAGCTGGAAACAGTGAAACAGTCCAAGAGCAAAGTGGACCAGAGAGTGAAAGAACTGGAGGAGGAGCTAAAGAGGTCTGGAACTTTTGCCTGTGTTTGTTTCCACTGTATTTTTCTGTCACAACATTGACGTTTGTTGACAGATTTTAAGATTGGTCCTTAAAAACCATTTTAATTCAGGGCCAAAACCACCATAGACATTGAGGGGGACAAGTTCCCCCAATAATGAGATATGGCCATTTCGTCCCGCCACCTCCTCTCCCTAATATTTGATATTAATTATGCACCTCTGCACTCTATTACATGTCATTTTCTGTGTTGTTAGGATAACAAAAAGGTGAAAAGGTTATATTTTTAGGCTGGTCTGTCTCTGTGCTCTAACAACTCATTTATCATTTATATGATTTATGTATTTCGTCACTGATTAAGACAAGACAAGAAACATTAACAGAGCCTTTGTTGTGAATGCGTGCATATTTCAAAATAAAAAATATTATTTACGGCCTTGTTTTAAACTACCACTAACATGAGTTTAATCCAGGATGACATGAGCAGTGGAATGGGCAGAAAATGCAAAGGTTTTGAGACCCGTTTTTAATTTTTTTATTTTAGCATTTAGAATGCCTTGTCATGTGCGAGGCACTGAAAAATATGTGACACTCAAATATGTCCATTTAGTGGATGTTTACATAGATCAGTGGTTCCCAACCTTTTTCACAGGGGACCCCTATTTTAACAGTAAAAAATTTTAATGACCCCATTTAAAAAAAAAAGTTTTTAAGATGTTAGAGGTGTAACGGTAATACTAACTGTCTGGAATTTTATTGTGGTTTGTCATCAAACTGTAACTGTTTCATATCTATTTGTAACCCTCAAAACTAGCGTGAGCTTGGGGACCCCTTATAAATCTTTAGCGATTCCTAGTGAGGGTCGAGACCCCCCAGGATAGGAACCACTGACATAGACCTGTGGTCTCAAACTCAATTACTGGAGGGCCACAGCTCTGCAGAGTTTAGCTCCAACCAGCTCCAACTCACACCTGCTTTTCTAGTTTCTAGTAATCCTGAAGACCTTGATTAGCTGGATCAGGTGTGTTTGATTTGGGTTGGAGCAAAACTGTGCAGAGCTGTGGCCCTCCAGGAGTTGAGTTTGAGACAGCTGACATAGACAATAGAAAAACAGCACAGTGGAATGCAAAAATGCATTCTGTGTGTCCGAAAGTGGCTCATGGTCTTTTTAAGAGTCTCTGTGAGTCTAAAAGTCTCTGTGACTCCAATCTAATTAAAGTTTGAATGTCTCCCTTTGATTAAAGGTTGAGAGCTGAAGTTTTAGGACTATCTCAGGACTCTAAAGATGAAGGCGGAGAGGATGTAAGTCAAACACTTCAGTCTCATTTCAAGCACTAATTTCTCTGCTCCAAAAAGTAGTGAGCTGCCTCACTGATGTAAACAGGTAGTAACTTAATTATGTTTTCTCCAAAAACACCTTGTTTTAACTCAGTTCAATGGCAGCATGGTATATGCAGTATCCTCCATGGAGAAGGCAATCCCAGAATGCACTGTGATGAAAAAAATCATGCTCACTAGGTTTTGGAACAGAGCTCTAAAGTCTTAAATAACCAAATAATGTTTTTCCTTATACCATATTAAACCATTTATGACCTTTGAAAATGGAAAATTACCCCATGATTTACTCACCCTCAAGCCATCCTAAGTGTATGTGACCATAATATCCATATTTAAAACTTTATAAACCATAATCTCTAGCTTCCGCTAACTGTTGTATGTTCATACACGAGAGTTGCTTTCCAGTGGATGACGTTGGCGTAGCATAAGCTCCGGTGAGAATATGCTAGTCTCGTGAGAACCAATTTTTGATTATAGCAAAGGAAAACCAGTCTCCTCTTGGCTTATATCGAAATCCTCTGACGTTTTTCTTTACAAATCCTAGTTTTGTACTTTTAAAGGGGTGGTTCACTGTTTTTTTCCTAGGATTGATTGTGTTTATGGGGTGCAGTCTAACATGTGTTAATGCTTAGTTTTTTTAAAAAACACATTATTTTTCACATAATTTACCTTTATTCCACACCGCTCTGTCCCTTCTCTGAAAAACGCACTGATCATTTCCTTCTTTTATGAAGCCCCTCCCTTGGAAATAGGCGATGGGCTCTGATTGGTTAGCTAGCCCAGTGTGTTGTGATTGGCTAAACTGCCTCTAGTGCGTGTCTAAACGTCCTGCCCCTCACCTCAGCGGCATGTGCTCCGGTTGTATTGTAAACAACGGCGTCGTTAATATCGCTTATCAGTTTGAGCCTGATTGAGACGCAGAGGATATTAGTGAAGAGGATTGCGCAGAACCTGTGCAAGCACGACTTTTAATGGTAGGCCTAAGTGTTTTTTTTGTTGTTGTTGTCTCATACTTTTAGATACGCTGTTATTTGTAAATGCTACTGCTTATGTTAGCTTTTAATATACGGTTTTTATCCTGATTAAAGCTTTAAAACAGTACGGCAACTGCACATGCGTCCATGTTAAAAACTTCTCATAGCTATAGTATGTGAACATAAGTGTATATTTGGAACAGTTCATTGTTATAGCTGAGCTGAATGAGAGAGAGAGAGAGAGAGATGCAGAGCGTGTGCAGAGCAGGGGGACGCGAGGAACAGTATTGAGAACCGCTGCTTTAGAACATTGATTTTGAAACTTGTGAATCCATTAGAATCGTTAGAAGGCAGAATCGTGATTCATATATGAATAGATTTTTATGTGCACCTAGTTTTCTCTTCCTCTTCTCTAAAGCAGTGCAGCATGGCCCCGCCCCCTTTGCTGCCTTTTCCAGAGGGCGGGGTTTATCAGGGTTTGTGATGTCATGAACCCGGGAAGTAACTTCTTGTAGTCCCAATGAGCCGTTTTTGTAGGCATTAAACTGCCAGAATTTTAAAAGACGATATCTCCGTTTGCATTGAACTTTCAGCTTCGTAACTTTGCAGATATTGTTTATGCTCAAACAGCAACATTACACATGTTAAAAAGTGAAATCGCAATGAACCACCCCTTTAATTCATGACCGGTGTTTTGTTTTGCTCTCTCCACTGCGATTCTGCGTTCTTCACTTCTCAACGGACCTTGCGCTACACCTACGTCCCACTTCATCCGCTGGAACGTAAAACTCTTTTATGTGCATATACGAAACAAGCTAGAAATTATGTTTCATAAAGTTTTAAATATGGATATTTTTCTTACAAAAACACATCGACTCACTTCAGTAGGCCTTTATTAACCCCCCGGAGCCATGTGGAGTACTTTTTAAGATGGATGGATGCACTTTATTGGAATCTCAACAGCCATTCTCTGACATTATAAAGCTTGGAAGAGCCAGGACCTTTTTTAATATAACTCGGATTGTACAGTATTTGTCTGAAAGAAGAAAGTCATATACACCTAGATGAGTAAATCATGGGGTAATTTTCATTTTTGGTGAGCTATCCCTTTAAATTAGATTTTTAAAGTGTAACATTAAATAAAGTTGTAAACACAGTCAGTGGTTAGACATGAGAAACTTTATTACCAATCACTTCTACAGGCCTTGCTTTGTTTTGCTCTAACAGTTTTTAATTAAAATGCTATGCGCAGTGAACCTTTAACCTTCTCACAATGTTTTAGTAACCTTATATTTGATGCTGTGAAATGCTGAAGGCCTGATGCACTAACCTTCGCTTCACTGCTGCCGTGTTTTGTGGTGCTGCTCTGTTCTGTGTGGCTCTGTGGTGCAGTACTCATCTCCACTGCAGGACGATGTGGCCATGACGCAGAGACGAAGGTTCACACGTGTAGAGATGGCCCGTGTGCTGATGGAGCGCAACCAGTACAAGGAAAGACTGATGGAGCTTCAGGAAGCTGTGCGCTGGACCGAGATGATCAGGTGAGGGAGAAGCAGCCATAAACATAAAATCTCACATCCAAATCAACTCTGATTCAGACACTACTTTTATCTGGCATCAATGCATGTAAACAAAATCTCAGACATTTGAACATCTAAATAACTTTATCAATACAATACTCATAAAAACCTGGTCGATAGGGGAGGACAAACGCACGAATGCATTGTAATGTAACATAAAATGTTACAAAACACTCTAATGTACATAAATGATAACATACACAGCACAACTGATAATAATGTTTCCCAAATGCCAAATCAGTATTAGAATGATTTCTGACGGATCATGTGACACTGAAGACTGGAGTAATGACTGCTGAAAATTCAGCTTTGACATCACGGGAATAAGTTATTTTAAATTGTAATAATATTTCACAATATTACTGTTTTAATGTGTTTTTGATCAAATAAATGCAGCCTTTTGATTGGTAGTGTAAATAAAAACAAAACACTATTATTAATAATAATAAACACCTCTGTTTATCAATTTTCACTGGCTACCAATAGCTGCTCGCATAAAATTAAAAGCATTAATGTTTGCCTACAAAACCACCAGTGGCTCTGCACCCCTTTACCTAAATGTATTACTTCAGACTTATGTGCCTCTAGAGCAGGGCTGTCCAAACTCAGTCCTGGAGGGCCGGTGTCCTGAAGAATTTAGCTCCAACCCCAATTAAACACACCTAACCAGCTAATCAAGCTCTTACTAGGCATACTAGAAACTTGAAGGCAGGTATGTTGAGGCAAGTTGGAGCTAAATTCTGCAGGACACCGGCCCTCCAGGACCGAGTTTGGGCAATCCTGAATGAAGTGAACGTCTCTTTATTGTTCATCCCAAAGAGGCACAAAATCACTTTCTCAGACTTTTAAATTAACTGTTCCCTCCTGGTGGAATGACCTGCCCAACTCAGGCCATCTTCAAGAATCGTCTAAAAACACATCTCTTCCATCTTCATTTGACCCTCTAACTCAAGCACTCTCTATTCTAATTCTATTCTTTAATAAAAAGTGCCCCTTTTAGACTTGCACTCTATTCATTTACTAACTGCTTGTTTTCTTAAAAAAAACACACACACTAGCTTCTCTAATCTTTTTGTATCTATTTGTTTTCTTTTTCTTTATTATACAATTAACAAAAGCAACAAAAGGGTCTCTAACACTAGCATGCTCTATTCTTTTTCTATTCTATCTGTTTTCTTTTTATTTATTATATAATTTAAAAAACACCAACATGTACTGCGTTAAGCTAACTGAGACCTTTTTTACAATCATTTACTTTGAGTACATGTATTTTCTTGTTGAGTACTGTATTAATTGTAGCTGTAAGTTACATGTCAATTTATACTTTCTATAAAAAATAAAAAATACTGTAAAAAATTTTTTTACAGTAAAATTATATGTAATGCTATTTCATATATATATAATGCTACATCATAATTATAATGCTATTTACAATTCTCAACACTATATATACGGTAATGTACAGTTAACCAATAAACAGGTTTTCACTCAAGCATTTTTACAGTCTTATCTAAAAACTTATTTTACAGTGCAGGCTTCATTTTCACTTTGTCTATTTCACTTCCACAGGGCATCTCGAGAGAGTCCTCCTCTACCAGAGAAAAAGAAGTCCATAATCTGGCAGTTGTGAGTATTCCAGCAGGTTTAGACATTTTGTTTTTGTTTTTATCTCTTAAATCAGTATGTAAGAAAGGGGAATGATTTGACACAGCTGAAATATCTTAATGATGTTCAAGTAGTTTTATTACTAATTTTATCATTTACATTTGACCTGTTTTCCCATTACTTTACCTGCTCACTTTGCTCTGTGTCTTTCTCCAGCTTTGCACGCCTTTTTAGTTCATCTGCGAGCCCTCCTCCAGTGAAACGGCTGTACACCAGTGTCAACATTCACTACAAGTCTCCCTCTCCTGCTGGCTACAACCAGAGACGCTCCCAAACCATGTGCCAGATCTCCACCTCCAGCTGCATACTGGAGTTCATGCCGGAAGAGTGAGAGGAAACATGCATACCTGACTGTGTCTTTGTTCCATCTGTCCTCACATCCTCATCCACACATTGTAGCTGTCTGTTTGTCCTCCCTCTTCCTCTGTCCCCCATGTCTGTTCTCTCTCTTTCTGTTGCTCAGGCAAGCTGACTCCTGCTAAATGCTGTGTGCTAATGCTGCATTTGACTGTTAGCTGTTGCACACTCACTCACACGTTTACTTGGGTTATCCAAGCAAGGAAATAGCATAGGCTTCTATTGCTTTAAATAAAACTAATAATAAAAACTACAGACTTAATTCTAACATTATCTCTAAAAGAAAACCTGCTTTTTTAGCATTTATTGAATACTTAATTTAGGTTGTGGGGTTTAGTTCTCAGGGAACATGCATAATGATTACTGTATTATTTTTTAGATAAAGCCATAAAAATGTTATTTTAGTATTATTCATAAATGGTTATAATATTTATTTATATTTTTAATTAGCTTTTATTTTTATATTTTCAGGTTTCATTTTAGTTTTGCTTTATATTTCTTTTTAGGTTAAATCATTTTTATTTTACCTTTAGTTTTTGTATTTTTAGTACTTCCACTTATTTTATTTCAGTTAGTTGCAGAGGCAACATTTCTAATTTTCATTTAAGTTTTTTGAGTTAGTTTTTTAAAGTTTTGTGTTTTTAAGTTAGTTATTTTATTTTATTTCAGCTTTTTCAATTAACGAAAATGATTAGTTTTAGTAAAGTTTAGTTTATTTATAAAAATTAGTTTACTTTTAGTAAAGAATAGTAACACTGCTGCCAAGTGAATAAATGTATATGTTTTATGCATTCATTGTTTTATCCGTCAGAACATTTTTACACATTAACATTTTAAAACATCAGATCACATCAACATATACATATCAAATATAATTTTTTTAAGTCTGCTTCCCTCGCACTCCATTAGCATTAAATAGCACCTGCCAAATGCATAAATGTAAATGAAATATAACACATGACGCAGTGTGTCTGGCATTTAATTTTGGCCTGGGCTGGCTGGCTGGTTCTCTCGCTCTTTCGCTGACTGCTCCCTCTCTCTTTCTCTTCGCCCTGTAGACTGCCCAGTAATGGTGTTGCGTCTCTCCTCAGCGATTCTGCGCTCTGTACACGCAGAGAGCAGCGTCGAGAGCAGTACCGGCAGGTGCGCGAGCACATGCGCCGGAAGGACGGCCCCATGCAGACCTGTGGCTGGAGTGTCCCGTCCCGATTGAAACAGGTATCTGCCCTTATGTTGACCCTTGACCCTTGAACTCTAAGATTTTTATATCCACCTAAAAACTGAAGTGGCTCTGTTTTGTCAGGAAGTCAAATAGAAGAGAAAAAATAAAGTAAATATGGACCCAAATGCACCAAGTATAAAGCATACAGTATAAATGTTTTATAAATTATTATAAAAGACTACTGAAATAAACTGAAATAAAATAAAATAATTTTAAATAAATAGGCTGAAGCACTAAAATGAATTAAAAAACATAAAATAAATTAAAGGTAAATATGAACATTTACATTTTTCAAATAAAATAACAAAAACTCAACAAAATTTAAACTTGAGCGAAAATTAAAATGAAAATTGAAAAAAAGAAAAAAAAGAAAACTGAAATATCCAAAATATTAATAAATACTCTAATAGTATGTATACTTAATATATATATATATATATATATATATATATATAAACTATGCTGAACAATGAATTGTTTTGCAATTGTGTTTGCAATGTGATTTGTTAATTTTATCAGTGAATTGTTTATTTACATGAACCGTGCAACTATTTAGCTATTTAGCTAAAATAGTTTAGGCTTCCTAACACTATATTAGAGAGACAGAAAAGTGAATGTTTGCTTACTATCTTTGCTCATTTTGCTGCAAAGCTGCAGACAGTAAAATGTGAAGAAAAATACAACGCGTTTAGCGTTTTGTGCAGCTAACAACTTGGCACCTCTTTTAACTATTATAAATGGTTTAACATGTTCAGTGCCACATCATTCATCTGAATTCTCGCGTGTGTGACACAGCAGCATAGCCATGACTGTGTGCTTGTTGCCATTGTCTTAGTAATGGCACTGGTTAGTCTGGAATTGTTTTTTCGTTTTGTTTTATGGGACTAGTTAACTAGTCCACGTTGTGCTGGTTTCTGGAGTGGCAACAGTGTTAGGGTTGCCACGGTGACCGTGTGTTTGTCAGTGTCGCCGTGGCTCTAACTGTGTTCTCCCACAGAACGGCTCCCAGGCGGAAAGTGCTCAAGATGCCACAGCGAAGAGGACGCAGGCAAGTCTGAGCGGCAGAGGACCAGCATGCACCTCTCCCACCCTGTCCCTTTAAATCCCGGCCCTATAGCGCGACTCAGCCTCAGTCAGCAAATCATAGAGCGTAGACGCAGCAGAAAACTGATATAGCAGAAAATAACGTCTTTGCTACGTTGAATATATCTTTAGGAATAAAACCTCTGGTATTTATACAGTAGCTGTCGTCATGCTTTCCGATTGTTTTGCTAACACTATCAAGTTAACACAATACTTACTGCATTTTAGACATTTTGCTGATTTTACAGTCGCATACAACCTAGACGGATATAAATGTGCCAGTCATCATAATTTATAAGTCAGCATTATTGCAAGACAACCTGAAATGTAAATGTAGTACCATGTATCAATTTGTAATTCAAATACAGTGGTCCGTGAATATGGTAATCATTCAGCATTTGATATGCAATAGTATATTGGAGTAGTAAATACCATAATATTACCATCTGTTACCACTGTTGTACCATGGTATCGCCAAAGTACTGTTTTGTAAGAGTACCTTTGGATTTTGACTAAATAAGACAAAACTTTTTATAATATTACTATATTGTGTGAAAAGGCCACCTTTCTGCTAAATGTAACTTTATTTAGCTTTTTAATAATGTTACATTAAATTATGTAAAAAAAATTAGCTAGCTATATGTTAACTAATTAACTGAAATTTAAAAAGCTCATATATGTCATATGTTATGATTTCATGTAATAGGCAATGGGTTTAAAATATATATTTCTTTCCGTTCAACATTTTACGTATTAATAAAGTCAGCAATTCAATGGCCATAATTGATTACTATTACAATTTAATGTAAATAGTTTGGTCCCTTGTGAAAAAGTATATTTAAAAAAAAAAACTGTACTTACAGATTATATAATATTCACAATTTAAAAAAAGGCTACTTAGGTGTAATAGTGTACTTAATAAAGAGAGAACACTGTTTCTTGGCACACTGAAGTTCTCTTTTAAAAGTTTTACTTTAAAGTACATTTTAAATCATTTTAATAATCTTTTTTGTGCTTTAAAGACATACACTTATTTTGACTGTCTACTATAGCACATGTGAAGTACTTGATTATAATTCTAACTGTAGTGTGTTATTCAGTATTACATTTCATGTTAATATATTTTAAATGTACTAAATGGCAACTTCATCATTACAAATGTGAAATTGCAAATGTATTTAAATACATGACACAGGTTTCAGTAGAAATTATATTGAAGCATATTTAACATTTAGTTTATAGTTTGCCATACCTGCTTGTCAGTACGTTTGGCAGAATAGTTTAACCATATTTCAAAATCAATAAAAGGTATGAATTAAAAATATGCTAAAAAATAATTCTTTTTCACAAGGGTTGCCTTTGTAAAGATAATAAAGATAAATGGTTATTCTGATCTAGTATGTAAGCAGAGTTTAGTTGAACAGGTAACAACACTTTCAAACAAATTCCATATGTCTAAAATGTAACGAAAGCTCATTTTAATACAATCACATTCCAATATTTAATCATATACAGAGAACATAGTCTTAGATGAAAGTAAATGAATTCAGATGGTAAGAAAGCCTATTTTGTCAGTGTTGTGTAACATGATATGCTCGTCCGTATCAAACCTTCCTCCATCTTAGAAACACTTGATCATGATTTGCTGCTCTCTCTGTCTCTCGGTGGCATTTGCTGACTATACAGTAGATTGAATGTCATTGCGCATGCGTCTGCCTAGTAACCCTCTAACAGACTTTGAGCTGCTTCTCTGGTTTGCTGTTCTTGGTTTCCCCTTTCTCTGTCTGCCCTGGATCAAGGCAATCTTAACCAAGGCATGATGGGAGCTCTGAGTATGGCATTTTCTGCTTGTAGTGTGTGGCAGTGATCTTATTGACAAAGGCCTTGTGAACATCACTGTCTTCCTGTGTCCTCACAGACCAATGAGAAAGAGGATAATCGCTTGAAAAATGTCCCTGTGCCAGTTTACTGCCGTCCTCTAGTGGAGAAAGACCCCAACAGGAAGGTAAAAGATACACACATGCTTAAAGGCTATTTGTTTTGAGGGTTTGAAGTTATGAACTCAGACTCTTGTTCTTCAGCTATGGTGTGCTGCTGGTGTGGATCTCACTGGCTGGAAGACACCCAATCAGGAGACTGCAGCTGTGAAGCTGTCCAATGGCTCAGATCCTTTGACTGCTGAAGATGAAGGCAGAGACAGCAAGAGTGAGCAGAGCTCACCAGAGAAAAAGAAGGTAAACGGCCTTTAAAAAAAATAAAACACATGAAATAAATACATTTAAAGAAAATAAACCTACACTTTTGGAAGAGATGTTCAAAATAAACAGAAAAATTGGGATCCGTAAGCAAAAAAAAGTAACAGTAAAAACATTTATAATGTCACAAATATTTTAACTAAAAAAATTCAGTTATTTTGAGCTTTCTGTTCATCAAAAAATCCTGAAAAAAAGTAACAACCTCCACAAAAATAATAAGCATCAACATTTTAACATTGATAATAATAAGAAATGTAATAATAAGTAATGACTGCTGAAACTTCTTAACTGTTTTAAATTCATTTTAAACCTCTTAAATCAATTTTGTAATCATTTTCAAAGTTTTTAAATTCCTTGCTTTATTGTTGTGATTATGTTTTTATTATTATTTTCTTTTCTTTTATGTAAAGCACTTTGAATTACCATTGTGTATGAAATGTGCTATATAAATAAACTTGCCTTGCCTTGAAAATTCAGCTTTATCTTCACAGAAATAAATGTTCTTTTAAAATATATTACAATAGATAACAGATCTTTCACATTTAAAGAAAATAAACCTACACTTTTGGAAGAGATGTTCAAAATAAACAGAAAAATTGGGATCCGTAAGCAAAAAAAAGTGACAGTAAAAACATTTATAATGTCACAAATATTTTAACTAAAAAAATGCAGTTATTTTGAGCTTTCTGTTCATCAAAAAATCCTGAAAAAAAGTAACAACCTCCACAAAAATAATAAGCATCAACATTTTAACATTGATAATAATAAGAAATGTAATAATAAGTAATGACTGCTGAAACTTCTTAACTGTTTTAAATTCATTTTAAACCTCTTAAATCAATTTTGTAATCATTTTCAAAGTTTTTAAATTCCTTGCTTTATTGTTGTGATTATGTTTTTATTATTATTTTCTTTTCTTTTATGTAAAGCACTTTGAATTACCATTGTGTATGAAATGTGCTATATAAATAAACTTGCCTTGCCTTGAAAATTCAGCTTTATCTTCACAGAAATAAATGTTCTTTTAAAATATATTACAATAGATAACAGATCTTTTAAATTGTAATAATATTTCACAATTTTACAGTTTTTTTTAAAAAAGTGAAGTAAATGCAGCCTTGGTGAGCATAAGAGACGTCTCTGAGAAATGTAAAAAAATCTTACTGACTCCAAACCTTTGAAGAGTAGTGTAAATACACAAACACAGTGGGTTCAGAAAGTCTGAGACCACATCAAACATTTCATTTCAATTCAATTTAAACCTGGAAAAAGGCAGAAAGTTAAAATAGAGAATGTAAAAGTAAAGAATGTAAAGAAATTCAAATAAGCAAATTTGTGACATTGATTAAAGCAGAAGGGAGACAAACCACAAATTTTCAAATTTATGCTTATTTTTTAGGTAAATTTTTCACTCAATTTGCCTTGCTTATAATAACATTTTAGTAAATTTTATTACTTTTTAAAATCTAAAATTGAATATAATATTTTTTTTATTTGCTAGTCACTAGATCAGAAAGGGTTATAGACTTTTGGACCTCACTGTACATCTTTTACATTTTACTGCCGTTGCTTCCCTTTCTTTCTTTAAGTAAATGAATGCTGGAAGTGAATTTCAAACAGAGTTCTAAATTGAATTAGCTAGAGTCTAAACATTGGTATTTCTCCCTCTTTTAGCCTAAAGAACTGCATGAGACTGACTCCATGAGCAGCCGCGTGTGGATTCTGACCAGCACTCATTCAGCCAGTAAAGTGGTGATTATCGACGCAAACCAGCCCTGCTCACTGGTCGACCAGTTTAATGTGTGTAATGCCCATGTGCTGTGCATCTCCAGTGTACCAGGTTTGTGTAGTGCTATATACAAATAACTACACTCTCAATTGTAACAGACACTGTAAAAGATGTGTTAACTGTCACTTGTGCTTTTTGTGTGTGTGTGTGTAGCGGCCAGTGAGAGTGATTACCCAGCAGGTGAGATATTTCTGGAGCAGCAGGCTGGAGATGGGCCTTCAGAGGAGAAGGGTGGAGTGGAGGGCATGCTGGCGGGGATCACCATCGTGGGCTGTGCCACTAACTGCAGCGTAGTGCGCAGCAACTGCTCCTCTCGCACTGACACACCTGTGCAGGACCGAAGCCAAGGTCAGCAAACAGACTGAAAATGTATGTTAGGAATCTTTGAGACTACATAGTGTTCATCATATGTTTCGTGTTTAGCTCCTACAGCTCCAGTGTGCAGAAGCTTGGCAGTGTCACAGTCTGCAGAGGAAGCCACAGAAGCCATTGAGGTGTCTGAGGAGGCAGGGCCTAATGAGAATGAGGACAGCACACTCGGACCTTTCACCGAGCATGTCTTTACTGACAGCACACACAGGTACCTCACATATAGCCTACTAAACTAAAGTGCCTACCAAATGCTTTCATAAAGGTTTATGCACAAAAATGATAGAGTTTTCTAAACCAATCCTGTTTTTCTCACTGCAAAAGGGCGGTTTTCTATTTGCTAATACGTTAGGATATGATTTAGGTATGTGTGCTGAATTTAAATAGTCTGCTCTGCGCATTGTGCCATCAGTGAAGCAGGTGTGCCGAAGGAGCAAGTGACATCAGCCCCCACAGACTCCGAAGAGGCAGGAGACGACCGGGCAGGAACAAGTGCTGCCCCGACCATGTGGCTGGGAGCCCAAAATGGCTGGTTGGCATCACACCTTCAGTGGCATTTTCACATTCTTAAGTCATAATTCCATCTCAAATATTATATGCACCATGTAAAGTCTCTGTAAACTCTGTCCACAGGCTTTATGTCCACTCTGCAGTGGGCAACTGGAAGAAATGCCTCCATTCTATCAAACTCAAAGACTCTGTACTGAGTTTGGTGTAAGTAGAATCCTAATGAAGTATGTACCCTACCATTCAAAAGTTGGGGGTCGGTTTTTAATGTGTTTGAAAGAAGTCTCTTACGCTCACCAAGGCTAAATTTATTTGACCAAAAATACAGTAAAAACAGCGATATTGTATTTTTTAAAATAATTGTTTTCAATACATTTAAAAAATGTACTTCTGTGATGGCAAAGCTGGATTTCCAGCATCATTACTCTAGTCTTCAGTGTCACATGATCTTTCAGAATCATTAATTTGCTGCTCAAGAAACATTTCTTATTATCACACTTGAAAACAGTTTTGCTGCTTAATATTTTTTTGTGTAAACCATGATATTTTGTCAGGATTCTTTGATAAATAGAAAGTTCAAAAGCATTTTTTGACAGAAATATTTTGTAAAGTCTTTACTGTTACATTTGACCAATTTAATGCATCCTTGCCGAATAAAAGTAGGAGTTTCTTTAAGAAAAAAAAAATTGTACTGACCTCAAACTTTTGAATGGTAGTGTATATAAAAAGACTGATAACAAGTAACACCAGTTATATGAAAAATACTAATAATTTCCAACTTTGACTCTTTGTGTTTTAGACATGTGAAAGGGAGAGTTTTGGTTGCGTTAGCTGATGGAACTCTTGCAATCTTCCACAGAGCTGAAGGTTTGCTTCATCTTTCTAATGTTAAACTTAGAGAAACTATGAGAAAATGAAAAAAAAAAAGTTATTTGTTAAAACAGTTTTGGTGTTAATATTTTTCATTCATGCATATTACAATAACAAATGTGAAATGTAAACACAGATGGACAATGGGACCTATCTAACTATCATCTAATGGATCTGGGAAGACCCCACCACTCCATCCGATGCATGGCTGTGGTTCATGACAAAGTCTGGTGTGGAAACAAGAACAAGATCCATGTGATCCAGCCCAAGAGCATGCAGATTGAGGCCAGTCTCAGATAGTGAATGTTATGTCTTCATCATAATCTTTGTCTTGGGACTTGATTTGATGTTTCTCTCTTTCATATAGAAATCATTTGACGCTCACCCACGCAAGGAGAGCCAGGTGAGGCAGCTGGCATGGATTGGTGATGGTGTCTGGGTTTCAATCCGGTTGGATTCTACGCTCCGTTTGTACCACGCACTCACACATCAGCATCTGCAAGATGTGGATATCGAGCCTTATGTCAGCAAGATGCTGGGTAACACTTCTCACTTTGTTGCTGTGACTTCAACACTTCTGATTTATAGCGTTCTGTGTAGAGATTAGTTTTGAATTGAGATTATATGTGCACTGTCTTAATTACCTCCTCATACTGTTTTTTACTGTGATTTGATTTTATATTTTGTTTTATTTTACCAGATTTATAAAAGCAATTTAACAGAAAATGTTAAAATGTTTTAAGTGTAATAAAATAAGATTTTTAACATTTAAATGTGTTGTTAATTTTTTGGTAATTATTCTGTTTATTGATGGAATAATTTTGTCTAATATTTATCAAAGATCAGAAGTCGCAATATAAATGTTTTACGTTGTGCTATGTTGTCTGTGATTGACAGGTACAGGAAAGTTGGGCTTCTCTTTTGTCAGGATAACTGCGCTGTTGATTGGAGGAAACCGATTGTGGGTGGGGACTGGAAATGGTGTCATCATCTCAATCCCTCTGACTGAAAGTAAGTCTAAGGGGTATTTGTATGCACATACACTTTATTGTTAACAAGGTCCTTGATCATCTGAACCATTTCCCTTACCCTTCACTGATCAACCAAAACATTTCTCCGTCATTGGTTTATGCTGGTTAGTGATACTTTTGGTGGTCAACCAGCTTGTTCTTGCTCATTCTGTAGCTGGCTGACCAATGAAGTCTTGCCGGTTAAGCTAGTTAAGAGGCTTGAATCTCACCATCCCTTGAGTTCATTGGGTTGCCACCACCCGGGGATTAACCTGCTAACTTTAATGTCATTATCCCAGATCATTAACCGCTAAGTCAACTTCCTTAATCCATGAATTGCCCAACAAACCCTGTGCCTCCTCTTGTCATCTCCTTTTTCTCTATTGTACCACTACCCTCTTTTGCTTTGTCTCATGAGTGTTGCTCTCTTGTCCTGCCTTGTTCCCCTTCCCACTTTCTCCTTACTGTAGCCGTAGTGCTTCATCGAGGGCAGCTCCTTGGACTGAGGGGTAAGTGTGGAGTGTTACAACTGTCATTCTTATCATGTCACATCACACTTATTTTGGGTACTCCATGGTCTTCTTTCATTTATATTTCATTGTTTAATAAACTTTTTTTAAAAAGTGGTTTTAGCTTGTTTTGGTCATGGATAAATGACCTCTGTCCTACTATCCCCATTATTTTGAGTTCATTTTTTCAATGTTATTTTGAGTGGAGTGGAGTCATACAAATCTGCATATACATATTTATCAGAAAAATATCTTAACCTTGCAATAAAAATGTTTTTTCAACAATCTAAAAAAAGCAATAACTTCAGTCTTTTTTCATTCAATCCATCATTCAATAGATTATTTTTGTCAGTGGTTTTAGCATATTTTAATTCATCTTCTTTATGTTAACTGCGTTTCATTTTTTTTCATGTTTTTTGTGTCTTTTTGAATATCTGTGGCTATTTTTGCATGCTTTGATCTCTTTATTACACAGTTTTTCTCTGCTGCAGTTTCATTTATTTAAGCACTGGCAGTCCCTGTGAGTTTCGGCCTTTGGTCGTTACTTTCTGATTGGTGGTTTCTGTTCTCTTGCAGCCAATAAGGTGTCACCCACATCATCGGGGGGCGTGATCCACGTATATGCAGATGACAGTAACTCGGAGAAGAGTAGCTTCATACCGTACTGCTCTATGGCACAGGCTCAACTCTGTTTTCATGGACACAGAGATGCCGTCAAGTTCTTCGTGTCAGTGCCAGGTTAGTGTCAATTATAAATATGTGAGGATTATATAGATTTATATATGATTATATATATATATATATATATATATATATATATAGATATATATATATATATATATATATATATATATATATAAAAAAAA